AAATGTGAATGAACCACAGAAGCACATTCTGCATATCTTGCTCACCATTACAAGCAGCGATAGAGAAAGCATTCATACTTGTGAATATGTAAATATGAACTTGTAAACACTTTGTGAATGTTCTCCGTATCAATTCTGTAAACATAATTTCTAGCTTAACTTAAAGACATGAGTTAACTAGAACCCATGAATTAACTTCACAGTTAAAACTTACAATTATAAAGTGATTGTGTGGACGGTGATGTTTCAGTGTTAGAGGTTAGACAGTCAGATTGAACAACAACCTGAGTGTCTGCTGGATGAACTCTGTGAATGAACTTCCTCTTATGAGTAATTTTGGGCTTTAACTGTGACATCAACATTTTAGGAGACGTCACTTCCTCTATAAAGCTTTGTCTAAAGAAAAGGTCGAAGGGGCAAACATGTTGGATGAGTCAAGCTCTCTGTGAGCTGGCTCATCTTTGGTTTAGACTTTAAATATCATAGAATATCTAATAGAATAATATAATATAATAGAATATCTTTGGTGAACAAAAAAACAATCCAGTCTGAATAATGATATATATGTGTTTGTACACACACACACACACACACACACACACACACACACACACACACACACACACACACACACACACACACACACACACACACACACTTTTATGCACCAAGTTACTCTTGACTTACACATGTTAGCATGCTAATATGCTAAACTTAGATTGTGAACAAGCTAAGAACTTTACCTGCAAAACATCAGCATTATTATTGTCAGCGAATTAGCATATTTAATTTAATTCCAGCACACAGATCTAAAAGATGCTGCAGTATGGCAGCAGACTCTGAGAGTTGTTAAGGAAGAATCTGTTATATTAGAATGATACTATAAAAATGATAGCTAAATAAAAAATGATGTGATCTGAAAAGTGTAGCCAACTTTTTTCCTGCCTTTTTTTTATGTTGAAAATGAGTCATTTGTTTTTCTACTGTATATTTATATACAGTCCTGTTTGGTCCTGTTTTTCATGTCCTGTATATTTAGATCAAACTGCAGAGGAGAGAAATCTGTTCTCATCCACATATATGTCCCCGGAACTCTACACTCCAGTTATGGCGTATTTGTGTTGCTGTAATCATGCAGGGGTTGATGAGTGTCGGTATGTGTCATATGTTGGGTCCCCCCGCACACTGCTGTCTTTGTTTTGGGCAAACAGGGGGCTCTTGCGTCACACTCACACTGTGGGGACCCTGCTGTCAACACTGTGTGAGTAAGACGAGGGAGCACGGGGAGGAAGTGATGTCATGTGTGGGATGATGAAAGGTTTCTGGGTGACAAAGTCTGAAAAAATAGAAGGATGGCATCCCCTGCTGGGTACCCTGCTAATGACAACACAAAAAAAGGTGTGAGGCAGGAACACTTAAAATACACTTGCTGGACCAAAGCATAAATATCATGTTTGTGGAAAAAAAAGGACTAAAATATGAGAAGTGAAGGGCTTGTAATAATAAGTTTGAATATATTTACATTAGAATCAGCTGAATAAATCATATGAAGGCTACTTGAGCCTAATTTTAATTTGATGTATTATGATGTAGTTCAAGCAGTATTTGCTTTACTCAGATGCATCAGCAGACTCCATAACACTGGCACAGGCAGAGTCCTCTTTAGACAACAAACCTAGTGGTTTATTTTTTCAGAGCACAATGAGAACTTTTCTTGAATTTCAACCACGTTTTATTTCTGAAATGTACTATACTTCGGACTTTGACTGTTTCTGACACAGGTTTTCCCATTCTTTTCTTCTATCATCACGGAGAGCTCTTTAACTTCATCCCATTCCTCCACACTCCCTGTCTCCCCTTAAGATGGTTTGTTTTATAAAAAGAACCTAAAGATAAGAAATCCAGATTGTAAAAACACCAGGATTAAATGCCTTATATTTTGTCCACAGGGGGCGCCAAAATCCACACAATCTAAAATTCCCTCACAGTTTTCTTAAATTGAATATTTCATGTTTGATACTGAGAGCTGATTATTGGATTACATTATGGAGGCACAATACGTTAATATTCATACAGCCCCACAGTCTATTTTGCCACCTATGTCATTGTGATTCAGCATTTTTGGGGAAAATAGATAAAAGTCCACAGTAAAGTCCACATTATAGAAATATTTTACTGTTTGATTAATTTATAATATTAATTCCACATTTTGTGCAGGGAATCTATCCGAACCATGCTGGATTAGGATGGTATGAATTTTTGGACAAAAGTTATCTAAACTCTTTCAAAGGTTTTGATCAACATTTGGAGTAATCATCCAGAATAAAATCATAGAGATTGTTGAACTATATGAATTTAAGGATTAAGGTTTTCAGTCGAGAGACCAGGTTTGGAGATGTGGTCCAAAAACAGCTCAGATCCTGTAAGATTATTCATTATACCTCGCCAGCAGACCTGTAAAGTTTCACTGCAAGTATCTGCTGCCCCCTGATGTCTAAAACTAGTAAAAGCTTGATTGAGAAAGAAGGGGAAGTTTGCGTTTAGGAAAAATGTCAGTCTCTAACAATAACATTGATTTGGTAAAATTTATCTGGATTACGTGATTCTATGTTAAGTGTAATCCAAATGTTGTAAAGCCACATTTGTTTTTAAATTTAAGTGGTTGATTCTTTTTGCTCATAATCTCTCTCTCTCTCTCTCTGTATATATATATATATATATATATATATATATATATATATATATACATATATATATACACTCACCGGCCACTTTATTAGGTACACCTGTCCAACTGCTCGTTAACACTTAATTTCTAATCAGCCAATCACATGGTGGCAACTTAGTGCATTTAGGCATGTAGACATGGTCAAGACAATCTCCTGCAGTTCAAACCGAGCATCAGTATGGGGAAGAAAGGTGATTTGAGTGACTTTGAACGTGGCATGGTTGTTGGTGCCAGAAGGGCTGGTCTGAGTATTTCAGAAACTGCTGATCTACTGGGATTTTCACGCACAACCATCCCTAGGGTTTACAGAGAATGGTCCGAAAAAGAAAAAATATCCAGTGAGCGGCAGTTCTGTGGGCGGAAATGCCTTGTTGATGCCAGAGGTCAGAGGAGAATGGCCAGACTGGTTCGAGCTGATAGAAAGGCAACAGTGACTCAAATAACCACCCGTTACAACCAAGGTAGGCAGAAGAGCATCTCTGAACGCACAGTACGTCGAACTTTGAGGCAGATGGGCTACAGCAGCAGAAGACCACGCCGGGTGCCACTCCTTTCAGCTAAGAACAGGAAACTGAGGCTACAATTTGCACAAGCTCATCGAAATTGGACAATAGAAGATTGGAAAAACGTTGCCTGGTCTGATGAGTCTCGATTTCTGCTGCGACATTCGGATGGTAGGGTCAGAATTTGGCGTCAACAACATGAAAGCATGGATCCATCCTGCCTTGTATCAACGGTTCAGGCTGGTGGTGGTGGTGTCATGGTGTGGGGAATATTTTCTTGGCACTCTTTGGGCCCCTTGGTACCAATTGAGCATCGTTGCAACGCCACAGCCTACCTGAGTATTGTTGCTGACCATGTCCATCCCTTTATGACCACAATGTACCCAACTTCTGATGGCTACTTTCAGCAGGATAATGCGCCATGTCATAAAGCTGGAATCATCTCAGACTGGTTTCTTGCACATGACAATGAGTTCACTGTACTCAAATGGCCTCCACAGTCACCAGATCTCAATCCAATAGAGCATCTTTGGGATGTGGTGGAACGGGAGATTCGCATCATGGATGTGCAGCCGACAAATCTGCGGCAACTGTGTGATGCCATCATGTCAATATGGACCAAGCTCTCTGAGGAATGCTTCCAGCACCTTGTTGAATCTATGCCACGAAGAATTGAGGCAGTTCTGAAGGCAAAAGGGGGTCCAACCCGTTACTAGCATGGTGTACCTAATAAAGTGGCCAGTGAGTGTATATATATATATATATGTGTGTGTTTTTCCACAATTGAATTCCCAAAGTATTACTTCAAACAGCAAATTTCAACTGTTTTGTTACATTTATTTCCAGTTTTTAATTTCTCTTCATTTACTTTTCCACTCTTTATACCTTCCATTATCATTAAAAATATATAGTTTTCAGCACAATTTTATTTATCCATCCACTTAAATGAATTGAAACTAATGGTATTACCAATATCTAAAAATGCAAATACCAAGGGTGAATGAAAACTTCTTGATATAAAATATGTGCCTTTTATTTTGATTTTTATCTGATTTAAGCTTCAGTGAAAAATCCAGATCTGCTTTTTTTTTTGTCCTTGTTCCTTTAGTAGAGAGATTTCTCCAGGCTCTCCAAATCGTAATGATATTATGTTTGGGAGATAATGAAATCCACTAATTCTTTTACATTTGACACTCAGGAACATTATTTTGAAACTGTTCAAACTATTGGCTCACGCAGTCTCTCACAGAATGGTGAACCTCTTGTATCTTTCCTTCTTTCCTGACCCAACTTTGCCCGTGTTTTGTTTGTTTCATCTCTAGGTGGTGGAAGAGGTTGCTGGTGTTTCCTTCTCCAGCAACAACAGCCACATGACACTCTTTGCATACTCTTGTTCCTGTAAAAACTGTTAATGGCATTAAAAACAAGCATACATTTTCAATAAATCTGTTAATTTGTCACTTTCAACATTTTTTTTATTGACAAAGTTTAAATTATTTTCACACCATTAAATTCAGTATTTATCAACACTCCACAAAGCATACCCACATTTGCTGGATAAAGGTTTTATGTTGAGAGCATTTCTTGACTATAAAGTCCTGTAAATTGGTAAAGTCATCAAAAATGTCCAACGTGGACTCGGTAGTTCCCTTCGTAGGGCTCTTCTTCGAGCTTCCTTTAACTTCTCAGATGTCAGACACTCTGGGGGCTCTTGTTCCTTCCTCCTCCTCCTCCTCGTCTTCGGAAACGGGATGTGATGTAAATACACAGAAACTTTTTTTTCTGCTCCTCTCTCCGGAGTGTGCAGAGCGTCTTCTCAAACACACCGCTGGTGGAAAACTGGCGGAAAACGACCCATAAAGACGTTAAAAAGTCAGACAGTGAACCATTTGGGAGATAATAACACCGTTTCCGTTTTCTCCACCATGATTCTGTGAGCTTCTTCGTCTGTCTCCAACCACAAACCTCCGACCAGCCGGGACCGAGCTCGAGGAAAACGGACTAGACCAGAGAGGAGAAGGGGTCGGTGCTGCTGTTATTGAGGACCCGGAGGGAGCGCACGGACAGGTAAACAGCTGACAGCTTTTATACTTGAATCTATGTTTGTTTTCTTTCTCGGAGAGCAAAGAGGCAGAGAAACGGAGATTTTATTCTGCTGTAAAGTTTGAGGGCATGACAGCCCAGCTCAGATCTGAGTCTCCTGCACACCGAGGCCTTCATGCTGCAGGACATCTCAGAGCTTTGGGATCTGCATGAAACTGCGGCAGAGGAGGACCAGGCAGACACTAGGCTATAGCTCAATTTATGTTTATATATTAATTAATTAAGTTCCAAAAAATCTAAAGCTAATTTATTAAAAAGTAAAATATGCTGCATTATTTGGAGAAGGTCTGCAAGTGAAGGGTCTAAAAAAACTTTAAAGTCGCTTTTAAGAATAACCTGTACTTTAAGTATGAAATACAGAGTTTTAAAGGGTCAGATGCATAGAAAAATGTGACAAAACACAGGACGTGTGTGATTGTAATGTAACTCTGCATATTGTGAAAGCCTAATATAGTAAAAGTACACAAGGACAGGGTATAAACAAGTACAATGGGTCCATACATTGAACTCCTTCTGGACATTTGAAAAAGACAGAACAATAAAACAAGAGTCATAATAAAACTTAAATATGATTGGTTTTGTAGAAGTATGATCAGTATCTGCTCAAGTGGTGATGTTACCATCATGTAATATAATCAAGCTGACAAACACTCACTGTGACAAAGCCATACTGTGATTTAGTAGAAGTTTATCATTGAAAAATAATCTTCAGATTTTTGCAAGTTGTTATAAAGAGTTGCTCACGTGAGCCACAGTGGTTTTAAAACTTACAGAGGTGTTTATATGACAATAAACTCACAAGAAAATCTCAGAAACACAAAAGGGGTTCAGTAGTAATTTATTTTGTTAGTAAACTGCATACACACGCTGACTGTACTGAAGTTTATTTTGAATTCTGTAGTGAATATCTCATAATTAACACTGCTCCATAGAGGTGAACAGTAACTGTACTTCACTGTTATTGTGTTTTTCTCATCCCTCTGGTTTTATCTGTATTTACTAATCCCTCTCACACACCCACACTCAGCTGGCTGTACAGCTGACAAAAACCAGGGGTCCAGTGTTCTGCCCTACTCCTCGTCATGTTGTTGTAGGACCTGGAATCAAATGCCAACCTTCATATTATGAGATGAGTCACTTTAACAGTAAACCACAGCTGCCTGTAAATAATATGGTGGTACAATAAGTGACTTAATCTCCACATAAAGTGATGAAGAAGACATGTAAACTTATAGTCCTTGAGCCAAGAACCAAAATTTCACATATCGGTACCACCTGGGTGGGCAAATTCTAGTTGTGATTTTTTTATTGCTATACATCCCTACAATAAGTTTTTATATGATAGACCTTGGTAACTGGTAGCTTTATTGTAGTTATCACTCATTGAAGTAATAGAGTGCAGCTGCTCAAAAACGAAAAATCGCCTTCCTTCAAAATGAGCTTTCTTTCATTTTAACCTCTCATTTAGGTGTGTTTGAACTATTGGCTAGCCATAGAGACTTGTAATAACCCCCTAAGTAGTATTTCAAGTAATTTATCTAATACAGGTGTGTATATATAAGCTTCAATTAGCCAATTGTCAGGTCTAAATCAAGGTCTAAATTAAGGATATTTTTTTACTTAGAAGTAGAAGTAAAAAAAATGCAGACTAATTATAATTATAATAACACAACTTTAATATGACACTGACATATTTTCAATGCAGGCACTCAATATACAATCATCCTGGCTGGTGCAGGGCAAGAAGACATTAGCAACAAAATACGATCTACTGATGTATACACTCTATACAATCATCTGAGAAAAACTCCAATTCCTATTCAAAGTCCTATTCTTTCCATAAGGAACAGTGACAGCAAATATGACTGTCAAGTTTTGGCTTAGTACGTAATACTTTCACTGAGTCACAGTGGGTCTGTTAACATAGCTCCCTTTGGTCATCACTTATTAATCAACATCAGTAATCGACATCAGTATCTGTATCTTCTTCTACATCTGAGTCTGCCGGTGTGCAAGGGGCTCTTCCTCACTGTATTGGTTGGCACAAGTTTGTAATTTGCACAGGTTTGTGCACTTCAGCCCATTGCTGAGACAGGTGCAGTCTGGTGGTTTGCATGTCCTCACACACTTGCAGGATAGCAAGGTCTATCTAGTTACCAAGGTCTATCATATAAAAACTTATTGTAGGGATGTATAGCAATAAAAAAATCACAACTAGAATTTGCCCACCCAGGTGGTACCGATATGTGAAATTTTGGTTCTTGGCTCAAGTGCTATGATACCTGAAAGAACTGCTCCACCATCAAATTGGGCCACTCCCACTTCATCAACTCATTTAATTAGACACAGGTTTGATTCATTTATAGAAAAGAGCAGTGTGACCCAAAAAGAGTGTGACTTTTAATGTGCTTTTGACTTTCTGTGTTGCTTTTGGAGTTAACAAAAATTTGCCTATTGAGGAAAATAACAAAATGAGAAAAAATATAAAAAGCTACCCCTATGAAAAGTCTATCATATTTTAATTTACTTATATTGACCCTAAAAACAATTTAGTATATGTAAGGTTTTGCCCACCCAAGTGGTACCGACATCTGGTCTGGCTCATGGACTATTACTCTGAAGTGTCACAAGTATACTAAATCCAGCACAAAGTCAATAGTGAGGATGATTTGTATCATATATTTAGCATGATGAAGTAATTGTTTACGACAACGCATTATGATTGTGCCATTATAGAAGATGTAAAGAGTAAAAGAGTACAATAATAACAGTCAATACTAAGCACATGATTCTGTATCATGTCTGTATATGAACCACAGGGTTTGAGGTGAAGAGACTTCAGCTTGGTTTGTAATATGTGGCTACCATTAGCAGAGCTGGCACCACCAGCCTTTGGTCCTACATGAAGGTTAACATCTGCATGCCTGTTCTTGTTACACGTTACTGCAGCTGAAGGATGATATGCCAGTTTAACCAGTATCCTAACTGTGGCTCACTGCAGTGTTGATTTGAGGCTACAGTGATATAATGATGTATTAGTGTTGGGTGGTATGAACAAAATCTTATATCACGGTAAGAGCAATTTCATGTCATGGTAACGGTATATATCATGGTATGTTTTTTCTCCCTGTAAATTTAATTAACGGCTTAAAAATAACCATACTGTCTCATTTGTTCATTTTCTTTTTCTTTTTAAACTTGGATTTGTATACAAATGCAAACAAAATGCCAGACCAGTCTGGCGATTTTTTATCATATGGCGTATCTTTGGCGAAAGACTCTGCCAAGCTCTTTTGTATGAGAGGAGCTGCTGCAGCTTTAGTTTTTGGTGCAGCGGGTGCACCACAAATCTGTTGGCTCCCATAATAGAGCATGGCATGTTTCATCTCTAGGTGGTGGAAGAGGTTGCTGGTGTCTCTCTCAGCAACAACAGCCACATGACACTCTTTGCATAATATTATTTTTTGGTCATTGTCGGATTTTCTAAATCTGAAGAATCTCTGCCTCCGTCTGCTTGGTACTGCCACTAATCTCTGCGTCCCCATGATCACCACCAGTGAAGCTGTTTCTTCTTCGTCAAAACTGGACACACTGGTGATTATAGGGAGCTCACCAAAACCTGACCATTCAAATGGAGTGAACAAACTCTGAACAACAGGCTGGTGAATATATGGAAACGCACCCAAACAGTTGCACTCCGGCTTTCCTGTTAGCAAGCGCAGACAACTACACACTGACTCAGAGAGATGCAGCAGACATCTGCTCTCTCTCTCTGGTAAAAACTTTATAGCAAAATTTCTAGCGGTAGACACTTTAATACCGTCACACAGTGTATACTGTTATACTGCCCAACAGTGTGATGTGCCATAAATTCTTATGAACTGAAGAGTAAAAATGCTTCTTACTGTGGAGTTATCGTCAAGCGGGGATTAAAAAAAATCACTTTAATCGGTTTAAGTCTCAAGTTATTGGTCTATAAATGTGTCTTCAGTCTGAAGTGTTTTCTTAAGCTGTGCGTGTGTGTGGTTGTGTGATGTGTGCGTGTGTTGCTGACCTCTCAACCTCCCATGAGGTGTCTCAGGGATCATGTTGGAGTTATTTTTGTGCTCAGAGCTCAGTTTACCAACAGACCTCTCTGTATCTTATGTCTCAGACTGACTTGTTCCTTGATTTATGAAGTCATTTAGGACCATTAATGTGCTCATCATCCAGTGATGTGTTACTTCATTGTGAATTGTGTCTTGTTCTTGCAAACACAGATAACCACCATCAGAGAGTTTCACTGGTAAATGCTTTATCAGTCTTTAAACAATACATGCTGTGAATCCCTCATTTCTGGCAGAGCTGACAGACAGCATGTCTTTAGTAGTGATTGATGCAGCTGAATTTATTACTAGTTTCTGCAGAACTTCATCCTTGGGGCATGATTGGCTGGTCACTGCCTTCTTCTACTCTTATGTACAATCAGCATTTGCACCCCTCTTTGGCTGTTACAATGGTGTATTTACAGCTTTCAATTAATGCAGACTTTCTTTAATTCTATTGAGTTAAATTAGATCAGGATAATTCATATTATTGCTCCATTGCCCAGCCTCAATATCAGTACATCACACAAAGATACAGCTCCCGGGCCGTGATAAAAGAACTGGAGGAGACAGTGATTAACATAGGTTTATTATATCATTAAGTTATGAAAACTGGGCAACAATAGATGCATGAGCAGGTTCATGAACATGGTGTAGTTAGAGGTAATGAGGGGTGCTCAAACATGAGAAACACAAACAAAGGTGCAGACACTGTAGTGACAGATGAAGAAGCTGCAGGAGGCTTGCTGCTGCATCCTCCATGGAGAAATACGTCCAAAAGCACTCCTGGCACCCCAAAAAGAGTTAATGCATCTAACCCAGACTCTGAACAGAAGCTCAGTCACACATAATATGTAATGCAATAATATTTCCAGCTACTGTAAATCCAACCTGTTGCAGCATGTTTACTGCACTTCTGACAGGCAGTAAACTGAGACATTGATCAGTTATCGTATCAGCCCCCAGCAGATATACTTCACAGCTCCATGTTAGTGATCTAACAGGCTGATATATGGTGTCTTTAACAGACTGAGATACCAGCCTGCAGCTACAGAAAGTCTCTGAGTGATTTCACAACAGCAGCAGCTCAAAGTTTGGCTTAGAGTGTGAGAGATGACGGCTCTGTTCTCCCACCAAAGGCAGTAAAGAGAGACAAACAGCTGAGGCTCAACATCTTCCTCTTCTTACAGGTGTGAATATCTTTAAAGGATAAGTGAAAGGTGGTTTTGGTTATCTCCTGTAACTAAGAGGAGTTCAAATGTTGTGTGATTCCCAAGCTCACAACCTGTTGCTCTTATACTAAGAATCATGATCTAAGCTCTTCTTTCATACTTTTGGAGTGAAAGGCAAGTTTGAGAATTTACTGACAGAATGCTTTATCCCATGCCATAAACGAGGCTGTAGTGACATCTTTTCAGGCAAACATGAACTTAAAAATGTGGCTAAAACTTTGTCAGATTGTCTGACAGCATTACAGAAATGATCCCAACAGATAAAGACCTTTGCGTACAAGGTTTCAAGGTTTTACCCTGGAAACAGCTCTCATTTGACTCATTAAAAAGATGCCAGAGTCTGTGAACCATAGACTGAATATAGAATGGACGACATCTGCCTCCTCACTGGGTGAAGCCACTGCGAGAACAGCACACTCTGGTGATGGGCTGCAGTAAAGGTCATAAATCCCGCCACCTCCAGCAAACCATATGGAGCTGTGGACCATCTTTAGAAATGTATTACATATGCTTGCAATGTTGACATGTAGTTAATGTAAGACTGGTTTGTGCTCAAGTCGGCTCTTTTTTATGTTCAGCTCCATTTTTAAAAGTTACTAGGGGGTTCATGTTTTCTATGATTGACACTTGATACAGCCTATGAGCGTACAAAGATTGCTTCGCTCACCCAGGGGATCTGCTGTTTGAGCCGAGCATCATCACAGCAACTCTCCCGCCGAATGCGCACAATGCTATGCGCAAGGTTGGTTTCGGGAAATCGAGAAAAAACGCGGAATTACTGAGAGCTTTTCGGCTTCAAATCCATATACTGGCAGAAAGCGGAACCAAGTTGTCCAAAGTATATACAGTCTATGGTATGAACAGAATCAGTCATTTTAATTTGCAGACTACTCTCCCTGCTCCTCTCCTCTCTTCTCCTCCTGCTTCTTGTTCTCCTCTCTCATCCTTCTGCTGCTTTCCCTGCTCTCTCTTGTCTCCGCTCCCTGCTCTCCTCTCTCATCCTCCTCCTCCTCCTCCTCCTGCTCTCCTTTCTCCTCCTCCTGCTCATCTCCCCTCCTTCATCCTCCTGCTCCTCTCCCTGCTCTACTCTGTCCTCCCTCATGCTCCTCTCCCTGGACCCATCTGTGAAATCCTGCTTAATTTACCTTTAATGACACTGGATTTTGTGCCCTCTCTACACTCTGAAAACCAAAAGTTAAGAAGATGACGTCAAACTGTTGACTGGATTCTCAGCGTGAGCGAGTGCTCTTACTTTCCAATAAAAGATAATTCATCCCATCCTGGTATCTGCTCTCCTGTCCCAGTTTGTGCAGCATTAGATCCAGACCTCCTCTCAAACCTCTCCAGCTCCACGCAGTGATCTGATGGACAGATTGGACTATCTGTGATGTTGCACGCCAGCAGCAAACACATGGAATCATGGGAACACAACCTCCTCAGAAGTTTAGACAATTGTTTCCAAAGACGTTAAACCTCAGGTCATTAAGTCGCCATATAAAGTCTGTGACCCATAATGCATTTCTGCAGAAACTACATTTAACCCTCACTGATAAAGTCAAACACAAGAAACAGAAGACACGTCTTCTGGAGATGTTGTAGCTGTGGTCGGAGTGGAAGCTGTAGGTTATAGAAGAGTGTAAATGAGGGAGTGTGTGTGGTTCTATCTATGAAGCTGTGGATCATTAAACATTTAGGAAACCACACAGAGGGTCTGCTGTAGGGAGAGACTGAGCATGGCGACTGCAGAGGGAGGTACAAGTTGGTCATTTACATCAACATGTTCATCATCATGGGTTTCCTGGGCCTTCAGACAGGATTGGTACAGCCTCTCTAAAGTCATGCATACTTTGTCCCTTGGCTTTTCAGGCAGGCTTAGACACATATTCTAGGGCTGCACAATGTATCATTTGAGCATCGTCATTCTGATGTACATGTGCGCAATAGTCATATCGCAGAGCTTGCGATGTAGGAGGGGAATGAACTCATCTCAGTTCAAGGGTAGCTGACTGAGATACACTCCATGTGACTCTGCATGTGCTGTGCAGCGATCCACCAATCGCATTCGTTCTCTACCCAGTTGCCAATTAGACTACCCTGCCAGCCGTCAATCAAAATCAGAGAGAAGGACACCACACCCCTGCACATGGAGTGAGTCGCTGGTGTTGCCGGAGTTGTGCCGAGAAACGCTTGTCCGCTGAGAATTACTTTCAGAACATTACTCAACACTGTTTAGCCCAACAAATAAGAACTGTTTGGGTTTTAAATTGTACATTTCCATGGACCACTCTACTAAAAGCGGTGCATGTTTTGCGAGGTGCATGCAAACACAGCCGTGCGTTTTTGGCACAACACCGGTAACAACAACAACGATCGCAAAATGTGCAACCAACAAGAGAAAAGCACTGAAAATTAAGACTTATTGCCAATGAAAGGGAAAGTCAGTTATCTGGAATTATTTCGGTTACAAGAGGGTGATGTCGACCAAAACACGTGGTCTGTGTTCATCTGTTGTTACAATAACGTCCCAGCACAATAAAAGCTAAAAAGATCTCAGAGACAGACGGAAGCCATTCTACAAACATTCACAAAAAGAGGTAAGATCAGTGCAGGTTAACTGTCCACAAGACTTCAGCGGTGCAGCATAACATAAGTGCTATTCAAGCCACCTGGTAATCTTCTATTTTTTACTATCACAATATATTTGCAGGGTTGAAAAAAAATTGCAATGTTAGTTTTTTCCAATACCGTGCAGCCTTAACATATGCACACACCTGCCTCCTCCTGCTCTCCTCTCTCCTCCTGTGACAACATACTGAAAGTACATGAGTAAATCAGCAGCTTCTTAAGCTTCTTTTTCACCTTCACTGCATATGGATCTATGCTTGTAATGATGAAGTGAAAGTAAGAGCTGTTCAGGGATCATTAGAAGAAGTTGTCAGTGTGAGGTTTGTGATGTGCAGAGCTGTAAACTAATCTTAGTGTTCCTACAGCTTCAGGCCCTGTTTGCTCGATGATGAATGACTCTGCCATACAGAGAGACCAGAGACACACCAGCTCTTCTCTGCTGCCTCCTCCCACTGCTGACAGAGTTATGATTCCCTGCATACATGTGTGTACAAAGATCTCCATGTCTTTAGGGCTTATATTTTGAATCAGGCAGCGCAGTCTCTATTTACATGCTCCACGGAGGAGATTTTGGAAAAGGTTCAAAGTCTTACTATGTTAAAACAATAAAAAAATGAACCAGTAAAGTTTAAATCTCGAAGATTTAGAGTTCTCCAAAGGAGACTGACCACATCCGTGAGTTTAAAAAGGAGAGAAAAGGTTTAAAACCGTTCAACATTCAGGTCAGATTCTTCCCCAGCAGCCCCTATAAATCATAAAACTGGGCTAAACGAATCCAGGCTCAGGTCTTCAGGTGTGTTTGATAGCGTTCACCTTGGCAGCAGTGCCGTCTGTCAGTTCAAAGCTCAACATGTTAAATCAAGCGCTCCTCACATTCCTCAGATACCAGCAGCTCTTTTGAACCATCTGCTGCTCCGCTCAGGTTCAGACCTCCTAACCCTCACCTGCTTTCAGGATGGATTCTGCTGTTTGGATGCTCGGCCGCTGCACGTGTGAGGTTAAAACAGTGAGGGAACAAACCCCCATGAAATAACTCAACAAAGAGAGAAGAAAGTGGAGTTCTTTGAAGGTTATTTTGGTGTATTAGAGCAGAAACTGTGTGCATGACTATTGTTCGCAGAATGACTATAAGCACTGAAGCTTTTCTACTAACTTTCTTTAAAATAGTGGAAAAAATAAACAAGTTAACTTTACTCAGCGTAGTGATTCTGCAATATTTCTCTTTTGAAATTTAGCTTGATTGGAATTTTTGTCTGCAATTTTAACATGTGCATGCACATGACAAAATAAGCAAAGAGGGCACTGAAAATGGCATAAACTCCTCCATGCTCTTGTGTTTTAGGGCATGTAAAAACCAGAGGTCAACTGAGCTCTGTTTTTCCAAAAGCTGATGCCAATAATGTAACAACAGGTTGGCAGATTGGGAATAAATAATGGTGACATCACATTTTGCATGTGATTAAATAAAACTTTAAAAAGATGAACAAGCAAGAAAAGAAATTCCTTGAACTTGAGTGAATATTTCCTAAATATTTGGCTTAATAAGCTATCACCACAGACAGGTATATATAAATGACATATGGCACGCAGATTCTCACACTAGAGCAGGAAAGTTCAAAAACTTTAATGGACTAAACAAACAGAACAAATGAAAGCACTCAAAGGCTAAGAGCTCAAACCACTTGAGGAAAATCAATAGTCAAAGTTGATGTCCGCAGTCCTTTGACTTCTGCTGTCAGCTCCCAGACTATTCTCCCTGCTGATTGTTGATCTGCCACAGCTGCTTAGGTGTGCTACTTCTATGCCCACTTTGGAGAATGGGAACACAAAAACCCAACAGGCAAACCAAAAACCAATGAACGCTGGGTACTTTTAACATATACCTGCATTTATAGAGGCGGGCCTTACCATAAATCCACAATGGGGTCAAACACTGATCCGCAGCCAATGAAAAGTAGCCACTTCAACCAACTGATGGCCCAGCTGATTTCCTCCTAGCTCCTATTGGTCCTATGCTTTTAAAGCGCCCTTTTTATAACTGCCCTTACCCAGCCTCTTCCTCTGCTTCGACAGCCAACCAGCAACCCACCTCCACCCCAGCTCAACCCTTGTGCCGGCTAAAACTGCTCCACTATCCTTGAAGTGCTCCTATGCCAGGAGGGTTCTGTTCATCGCTGCTTTTCCCTCTGTTGTTTCTGCCTTCACAATGCCACAAGAAGGGCGGGAAGGTGCTCTTCCTGCCGCTGGCCTTTCATACATGCTTGCGTGGAGAACAGAACGTGTGCGCTCTCTTCTATCACCTTTTCGTGATGGCACGTGAATAGCAGGAAGGGCCTCTTCCTGCTTCTGGCTTCCACGCAATCACGTGGAAGGGCGGGGACCCAGAACAGCACTATGCCGCCAAATTTAACTTGGCACAATAAAGCTGAATTTTGACACAGTGATCCTGACTGAACTGTCATTTATCGGCCTGATAAATAGGCTCACCCTCTAATTAGTCTTTTTCAATTTCAACCACACTTCATCTTTAAACGGATCATCCCTGAGTATTTGTATATGCAGAAATATATTTTTCAATACTCATGTGATCTCTGCTCCAGCAGCCTGGACGTTCTGATGAATTAACATTCATGCTAAACTGAAAAATTAATCTGTTCATGTCGACAACACGTGTCTTGTGTGAAGTCTCAGGGTACAGTCTGCTTTGAAAAGTTAAGAAAGTTCAGGTTATGCTGCACCAAACCATACCACACCGAACCAAACTGGACCGCTTGGTGGAAACACACCATCAAAGTTATAATCCATGGATTATGACCAAATCCAGGAGCTCTGCCCCCCAATTGTTTCATCGTCACTTGATAGTACATGTCTTTCAGAGTCAAAGCTTCCCTGTTTGATGGGTTTAAGGGGAAAAGTCTCAGGGGGGTCTCCAGAGTCAATGCTACATGTAAACAGATGGGTGTGCACTTTGCAGACATCCTTTCTGTGTCCACCTCTACAATAATTTCCCTAGTTCACCCTCAGATGTTTATGTTCATCCTGTGAAACAGTTTCACACCAATCCCTTTTATATGAATGTCAGCTCTCCCGCCCACTTGCTCATGAGTTTTCCCAAATATTTCCTGTTGCGTTCTCAGATAAAACCCCCGTCTTTGTCAAACTTTACTAGAGGAGCCTGCGAATAAAAGTCAGGGTGAGCATTTGGCTGGTTGCGCCCTTCATCATGAACATTTGGGTATTTTCTGGAGTTTGGCGCACGTGTGAACACATCTTCTAAATATTCTGGTGCTCAAGGTTTGGTTCCTGAAGACAGCTCAACAATGGTTGCCACAGTTTCAGCTGGCCAAAACCACCTCAGTCATGCCAGATGGTCCAAAACTTTGACAGAAAACTTAAAAGCCGCACTCCTCAAACCCTCCTCAGATTGCTGCTGCCACATGTTGGTTTTGAAAAGCTAATAATGTGCAGAAATATCTGCTAAATATTGACTCTTTGTTTTTGTTATAGTTTCCTGTTGATAACCAGCTGGGAGTCTTTAAGGTCTAACAGTGTGTCATCGCAGGCATCTGGAACTGAGCTTTGTGTGTGTGTGTGTGTGTGCTCTGTGTGTGTATTGTTTATTGTGTTGCATAATCAGACAGCAGAGCAGCAGCTACAGAAAAGCAGCAGACGCATTCAGTGCAGAAAAACAGGCCTGTGTGGAAACTTAGCAGAATCTGGGGCTGGTGTTTGCGTGTCGCTACAGCTGAGGAGATAATACCAACCAGGAATTCCTGTTTGAGATGACCCATTTTTACTGGTTTCCTCTGGATCTGGGTTAAATCCAGCATTTTATGCTCTCTGTTTGACTCAGTGTGTCCAAACCATTTCAGTGCCTGAAACTGAGTCGCTGTCTTTGTATTTCCATGGATGGCTGTCTCTGGGATGTACTAAATAAACTCAGCAAAACCTAAAAGTTAACCTAACATGTTTAAGAGGAGATAATAGCTGACTTTTTGGTTGAAGCCTCATTTTTGGTGTTTTGGCTGTTACTGTTTTCAAATTTAGACATGGCAAAGGAGCAAGTAAAAAGTGACATACCTCTTTCTTCATTCAGCCTGTGGAGCAAATTGTTAGTCTAATAATCACTTCATGTAATACCCTCCCCTGTTTTATGGCCTGTTTAACCCTAAAAGGGACCAAAATTCACTAAGTGAGGGTCCTGCTGTCTTGAAGAAAACTTGTAACTAGTCTTTGGGACCATAACCTTGTTTGGAAAATGTTTGTTGAGACTAATCAGCTCATCTGTTGATGATATACCCACTTGGATCACTCCCTGATTTTGTGGCTTCTGGTGTAGTCAGCATTTATTATGATAAGCACTGAAGGATATCCGAACTAAGACTTTCATTTCCATGCACAAGTCCTTGGCTAAACTCAGACTCCAACTCAGCAACCTTAGACACAAGTATGGAGTTCAATTTGAGAAACAACGTCACCAGCTAGATTGTGCACTTATATGCAGACGACTTTAGAGTTAAGTTTTGCAGTTTAACCCCTAATTTGTTGCAGAAATCGTTGAAAGTCACCAATGGCAGCACAACAGGTTAGCAGCAACACTTCTTAAAAGCTTTTGCACTTCACTGTGACGTAATTGTGCATTTACATAAAACTGTGGTGAAAATATTAGTTAGATATCTTCACAAGGAGTTGCTCTGATTGAATCAACCCCCCCCCCCCCCCAAGAAGAGACCAGCAATATTGGTCCAGACCAAAGGAAGTCATGGTGAGCATCTAAATCTGAGTTTAGGACAAACAAACCCTTTCAATAACCCATTGTGGATCATCTTTGACAAAACCAGCGAAATTCAAGTGTAAACAAACAGATGGTCAAGTTGCTCACCTTGAAAATAAATGAGGACCTGAAGAATAAACATTTCAGTAAAAATGTCCGAAATAATCAATTGATCAATGAAATTCTCTACTTAGCACCAGAATCACAATTTAGTGAAACGAACTGCTAGTCATCTATTGTGTTTAGGTTGTAGCCTAGGTTGTTGCCACTTCTAACTAGCGATAGCTGTACCTAGGTAAAAGTCAAATTGTTGTTTAATTGATGACAAAATTTTTCTATTCAAATTTTCTCTGTGCATTTAGGAGGTGGTCTGATTATGCCTTTATTGATCTAATCACTCATTTGCAGACTTTTAACTTTCATATTAGCTACATAAAAGTTGCCTCATTTTCTCATTGACTTCTTTACAGTCTGACGTCTTTTTGCCACATATGGAGTCGCTCTCTGCTGGCCAGTTAAGAACACAGTTTTAAAGCAGTTGTTGAAACAGAAGGTTTTGCCCTTTTCATGTGTACACTTAATTCTCGTACCTATTGTTGACTTGCAGTTTTAAAGGTGTGGTCATTTCAGGCTGAAACATTTGCTTTTGTTTTTGACCAAATGTGTTTGTTTCTCAGGATTTAGGAAAAGGGCTGAGAACTGTCCTTCGTTTGTGGACTTATATGAAGATATCTCTATAAAACTTGGCATGAATTTAATTAAAAAGTTGGTTTGAGAGGAAGTTTAAAGGATGTTAAAGATATATCCTGGTCTATTGTGTCGTCTGTTTTGTTCTCAGTGAACTCTGTCTTATTCACCCCTCAACCAGAGAGAGAGGGAGAGAGGCAGAGAGAGACATGTGGATTCCTGTGTGTTGCAGTAAGAGAGAGAGAGGACTTGGAGGAAGGCATGTGGATTCCTGTGTGTTTTTGTGAGCAAGGGACATGGACTCAGACGGGGAGAGAGAGAGCAAGAAAGAGTGAGCTCTGGGTTGCGTTGAATGTCAGGAATGTTGAGGCTTTTGGCTCCAGTTCATTCTGACGGAGGGAGGAGGGACAGAGTGAGCGGAAAAGGAGGATTGAGGGAGGAGATAAGGAAGTTGACAGAGATAAAGAAGAGAAGGACAAAGGAAAGGAAGCAAACTGGCAAATTAAGAAATAAAGTTTATTCTACTATCCAAGCTGTACCAAGCCACTCATTTCACTTTAAACATTTAGTTTTTGTGCCTATTGTTGCTTCCATTCTTTAAACTTTAAGGTTGCAGAGGAAAAGCATGCCCCCTTCTCTAATCTGATCAGATTTATCCTCATTACAAAACCAGTCCTCCAGTGGTGCAAGACAGGATGCATTCTGGGAGATGATGTCATGCAGAGCAATCATGTTGCAGCCACAGACTGTATATACTATGGACAACTTGGTTCCACCTACCGCCTGTATACGGATTTGAAGCCAAAAAGCTCTCGGTATTTCCGGGATTTTTCTTCATTTTCTGAAACCAGCGCAATAGCAATGCACGCATTCGGCAGTCGCAGAGAGTCACTGTGATGACGCTCGGCTCAAACAGCGTATACCCCAGGAGAGCTACGTAATCCCTGAATGCCTATAGGCTGTATCAGGTGTCAATCATAGAAAACATGAACCCCCTAATAACTTTTAAAAACGGAGCTTATTTCGCTTTATTCTAGTTGTAGAAGTCCTGCAAACATTGTGTTTGCTGGTAGTCTGGTGGCATCTACAGTAGCACCAATGCTTTTTACTTTCACATCGACTGGGCCCCATTTGTAATTATCTGAAGTATTTATCTGCATTATATCTGAATTTAATTGAAACAATACAAGCGAGCAGGAAAAAAGTAAGCTGCCTTTTTTAGGGGTCCAGATCATTTAACTTTCAAGAGTCAAATTTAGGAGTCGGGCCATGTCACAATTGTGCATATTAGCTATCTAGTGTGTCACTCAGAGGCTATGAAATGGATTGCTTTTTCATCAAATACTGTAATCAAGAAGATGGATTGAAAAAAAACAAACCAGACAAAATTTAACATGGAGAGACTCTAGAAAATGCATGCATCCTTCTATCTGTCCTAGTTATAAGGTAAAACGGAATGTAAGCACTGTGTATAAGGACCATAATACAAAACCCAATTCCATTGAAGTTGGGAAATTGTGATAAACGTAAATAAAAACAGAAAACAATGATTTCCAAATCCCTTTAACCTATATTCAATTGAATAATAATAATAATAATAATTAATAATTCAATACACTACAAAGACAAGATATTTAATGTTCAAACTCATAAACTTTATTTTTTTTTTTGCAAATAGTAATTAACTCAGAATTTAATGGCTGCAACACATGTCAAAGTAGTTGGGACAGGGGCATGTTTACCACTGTGTTACATCACCTTTCCTTTTAACAACACTCAATAAACATTTGAGAACTGCGGAGACTGATTGTTGAAGCTTTGAAGGTGGAATTCTTTCCCATTCTTGCTTGATGTACAGCTTCAGTTGTTCAACAGTCCGAGGTCTCCGTTGTCGTATTTCACGCTTCATAATGCGCCACACATTTTCAATGGGAGACAGGTCTGGACTGCAGGCAGGCCAGTCGAGTACCTGCACTCTTTTACTACGAAGCCACACTGTTGTAACATGTACAGAATGTGGCTTGACATTATCTTGTTGAAATAAGCAGGGGCGTCCATGAAAAGGACGTTGCTTGGATGGCAGCATATGTTGTTTCAAAACCTGTATGTACCTTTCAGCATTAATGTTGCCTTCACAGATGTGTAAGTTACCCATGCCTTGAGCACCAATGCACCCCCATACCATCACAGATGCTGGCTTCTGAAATTTGCGTCGATAACAGTCCAGATGGTTCTTTTCTTCTTCGGCCTGGAGGACACGAGTCGTGTCACACGACCTCCACTATTTCCAAAAACAATTTGAAATGTGGACTCGTCAGCCCACAGTACACTTTTCCACTTTGCATCAGTCCATCAGTTGCATCAGTTTATGAGTTTGAACATTAAATATCTTCTTTGTAGTGTATTAAATTGCATATAGGTTGAAAGGGATTGGCAAATCCTTGTATTCTGTTTTATTTACGTTTATCACAATTTCCCAACTTCAATTGAATTGGGTTTTGTAGCTGCACTACAAATTTTATATTTTGGGATGACAAACTTAAGGCCACAAAATGTTGAATGTTTTTCTTTTTGTTGTAAAAGTTTACCAACCTTGTCTGGTTATCTTTGTTGGCTGTTTATGTTACAGATGGATGATAAAATTCATTAGAAAATGTGCTTTTTTGGCCTTGAGTTTTGATAAAAAGGTTTTCAGTTTTTACTGCAAAACCAAATTTGTTCCGAATATTGGTTACTGGCCTCATGAGTCAGTGTAGCCAGGATTATTACGAATTTAAATCACCACTGATTAAATTTTGAATAAAGGCTGTAAGTGATAAAGGTGCAACCAAGCAGCCTTTTTTCTTTTTTATGATCAGTTTGCTCTTTAGTAAACTGTGTGATAGTATAAGGACACTAAATGTGGAAACTTGCAGAATAACGTCAGTTTAGTGTCTAGTATCTAGTGTCTCTCGTGGATTTCTGGTGTAAAACACCTAGATAGTCCAAATTTATGTTTGAAAATATTCCCAAACCACAGGCTTTGAGTCTCTAGCAAATCTCCTGCAGCTTTTGGCAGTTTTATTATTCAGAACAGAGGACGTGCTGCAGTAATGTAAAAACTAGGGTCAGTATAATTTCCAGTCGAGCTGAAAAGAAAAGAAAGTAAAAATACTCAGTAACTCTGACAGGAAACAGTTTGTAATGAGGTGAGATTTGTCTGTTGCATAAACAGTTAGTGGGTGTTTGTCTTGTGGATGTACCGCTCTTAGGTTGAGAGAAATGAAAGTCTGACTGTTTTAAAAGACCTTAGCTGTCTTTTCTTCCCCCCTCTCTCCTTCAGCCTCTCTTGATCACTTTTACTGTTTCTGTTTTCTCCCCCTCTCTGGTCATGTGATTTTTCTGTAGAGATGAGCAACAGTGCAGGAATCTGAGCTGCAGCCAACACATTACATAAAACCCTCTCTCCCTCCTGATGGTTGCCAGAAAATAAAAAGTAAACCATTCGGTTCTCAGCTGAAGTGAATGAACTCACTTCCTGAAGGCAGAGCAGAGGTTCAGGCCAGAAACAGACAGAAAACAGACAGGTTGTTTGGGAAACTGACTGTTTTATTAAAGAATTGAAAGAGTTTTTACTTTTTTTGTGGTCAGGTTGTTCCCAGCTGTGAGGATCTCTGCAGAACAGTCTGTGTCTGAAACAAGAGCAGCTCTGAGTGAACCTGACTGTAACCATTAAGCTAACCTCGCTAGCTGCATCTTTAACCTGAAAATGCAACAGTATGTCCTGATATAATACTCTGTAATAACTAGGCCTACTTCAGTAAAAAGAAATAATGCTATTTTATAACTAACTCTTATTCTCTTCATTTAAATGTTACTTTATTGTTTGTGTCCTGACAAGGTGTTTAGGATTAGGTAGAGCTTCATTCTAGGTTACAAATGTAGCCTGACTCCTCTGGTGTCCCTTCTCTCCCTTCAATCCTCTCCTATCCCAGCTGTATGAGGAACTTTGGGCATGGCAGGCCTCAAAAAGGTTCAGGTTTGAGCATGCTCAAAGCTGTTTGCAGTTTTAATCTGATTTTTATCTTCCTGAGAGTGTGTGCTGTTCTACGTCCGGGACTCTCTGGTGTGCCCTCTAGAGGTATCTTCCGGAAGCACATGCAGTTCACGACCAACCTCTATGATAAAGCTGTGTGTGCACTAACAAGAGCAAGTTTATCTCTGGCCTAAGCTGAAAGGTGACGGTGACCTCATGTCACTGCAGTGAATCACAGGTGTGCACCAGGAGCTTTGATATCACTGTTAAATTTCAGTGAATGTTTAACCAGAGAGGGAAGCCAAACCCTGTTATTAAGCTGTGTAGGACTCTAATTTCTCTTCCGTCTATTGTTGTCCTCTCAGACTTTCCTCGCTCTCATTCCTCAGCTATCAAGTCTCAACCCTACCCCTCCCCCTCCTGTTTTTGTATTTCATCTGTCCTTTCTCTCCCTTTCCTCCCTCTTCATCCTAAGTCTGCCTCACCCTGCTGTCTCTCTTCAGACTGCGTTCAGGTCATCTCCTCTTCCCTTTGCATTTCTCTCTCTCTCTCTCTCTCTCTCTCTCTCTCTTTTCCTCCTCATCCAGCTGTATCCTCCTCAGAGTTGATTGTTGGTTGTTTGGAAACAGAAGTGAGCATCTAAAATACCTCTCTAGTGTGTGTCTTTGTGAGTGTGTGTGTTAGTGTTGCGTAACCTCTTCCAGCAGGCTGATGTTTGTTTCCAGTATTTATAAACTGCTGTGCTTTACCAGCGCTGACATTGTGAAATCGCACACTCACAGTAAAAGCAGTTCAAAGAATGATTCGCACTCATCTGCCCTGATGTTAGTGTGTAAAACTGAGACTGTTCACCTTCTGCAGTAAAGAAATGAAACCTGGATTTGTGTGGAGATGGCTTCAGTGATGCTGAGAAATACTGTGTTAAGTGTGTTTACATGGACTTGGGTGTACTGGTAAGGAGCTTTATCCTGGTTAGAAGCCTGGTTAATTGTAACCATGTGTTCATGTTAAATATAAATATCCCTTTATAACTTCATACAGCTTTATAAATGCCATTCCCATTCAAGTCTTTGTTTTTTCTTTCAAAAATTGAGTCATGAACTTGTTATTGTGATACTCTCAGTATTGTGAATTTGGCTCAGGCAGACTTGTGCAGGAGTCTGCAGCTGGCAGAAATTGAGATAAGTCATATAAGATAAGAAGAACTTTATTAATCCTCAAAGGCAGGGTTTTTCCTGGCTCAAATTGAGGCAGAGGTGGCACCATCCTGACCATGCGCCATGACGTGCATATATTTGTAAATTCAACTGTCTCACTTTCTTTTACAGGCAACATACTTTAAGTTAAGAGTTCAAAAAAGAGTGTGACCATTATCATGTTAAAGCATTCATTTATTAAAACTATATACATACACAAATCAGCTGGCAACTTTAAATTGAAAGTACACTTCATCCACACATCTCGCAACCAGACAGAACATTTCAGCCTCCTCTTTTTCATTCTGTAGAACCTCCTCATGCACTCCTTGTAGTCCAAGGCCTCCTGGTCTGGTCCATCAACAGCCACCTTACAACAGACATCCAAGTGCCTCTCCTTCAGTCTGTTCCACAGAGGTGTCTTCACCTTAAACAAAACAATTCATCATGCATTAAGTATTTTTGTTTTATTCTGATACAGACATGAAGAGTGATAGTGTTTTCAATCATATATTATATATATGTATACGCTGCAGTGTCCTCCCTAAAAAAAAAAAACGACAACTAATTATTTCTTAAACTATCTAAACTATGTTCTTTTAGTTTTATTTATTTTTTATTAATTATTAGTTATTATTTATTAGTTGAGTTTTTTTAGGTACTACCATCTTTAATATATTTCTCCTTCTCTTCTGCTGCTTTGTGAACGGCTATCACCTCATGTCTTTTTAATGTGTCCAGCCTGTAGTTGGTTGATGGCTGTCTCACTAAGGAGGCAGCAATTGCCTGCTGTGTTACAGTGCTTTTGGCATAAATAGCAGTGCATGCCTTCCTCAGTATGCCTGAGCCAGGTAAATTGATTGAGCCATTGCTTGTCAAAGCCACTGGCTCTGTGTTTTTGAGAAAATCTGGAAAGAGGAATAAAAACCACGTACACGTTGGCTTTGCGTTGTTATGCTCCTAATTGGAAACTAATTAATTAATTACCCTCGCCTCGCCGACTCGTCCTGTCCTGCATTCTGACCCTCGCGATCACCAGTCCCTTGTGAAGTACTTTCAGACCTGACACAAATTTCCACGTTGTCACCACTATGAATTATAGCATTTTAACTGCCTATTACGTTTTTCTCTGCTGTGTTTCACCTGGACTCTTGACTTTCCTCCTTGCGAGGTCGCTTTTTAAAGTACTGGCTGATTTTGCCTGTCATATCTGCAACGCTAAAAAACGGAGGAAACTTTTTTTTTAAATAAACACGTCATGCTTGGATGCAAAAAAGACAAGCAGTATTTACCTGTTTGTACCATCCGCCAGGGAAAATCAGGACGCCGACAGCACCAACTAGCGGGAAAAAAACTTGAAAAAACATGATTCGATCCGTTTCTTCTTCGGTAGAGGCTTCAGGTCTTTCCGGTGCACTGCTGTTGATATAGCGCCTCTATAGTGGCGCAACGCTGCAACTGCAGTTAAAATACGTTGCTGCAGCAGAGGGACATCATACACTCAATCAACACAGCTGGAGCTTTACGCTGTGTTGAGCGAAATCAATCGCTCTGGCCGGGGGCGGCACAAAATTAGGTGGAGGCGGCCGCCACGCAATTTTGAACGCAGGAAAAACCCTGCTCAAAGGGAAATTCAATTGTCTGTTGTCTCACATAATATGTCTCTAAAAGTTATCTATTATTTACACAAGAATTATAAAGCCTGATGGCTGTTGGTACAAAAGATCTTCTGAATCTTTCTGTCCTGCAGCGAAGAGAGAGGAGCCGTCCACCACCATTGACCCTTTGGTCCATTAAGGTGTTGTAAAGTGGGTGATCCATGTTCTTTAGAATATTCTTCACCTTCCTCAGTGTAGATCTCTCCACTACATCCTCCATATATAGATACATATAGATGCCACAGTATCTTGTTTTCTTTCAGAGCTGTCTGAGGCGCAAAACAGGGTTGTGTTTCCATACACAAGTACAGAAATAGGCTATTTTTTCAGTTTTCTGACTTCTTCCTTCTCTCTTTCAGAGATGTAGCGTGTTTGTTGGTGAGATTGTGGGACCATCATGCACCTCTTCCTGCTGCTGATCCTTCAAGCCACAGCAGCCTTTGGACAGATTGACCCTGGTATGTCACTAAAATCATCAGACACTCATATACACTCCATTTTTGTACTACAGAATCTGCGCCCACCTAAATTGACACAAAACATTCCCATAACTTGGTCACACTGATCACCGTAAATCATTTGGAGCAGAGTTGCATAAATGTCCATGTTTATGGTAAATCAATGGTCCCTATAACGTCAGAATAACTAGGTCATACAAACACAATTAGCACGTGTTTGTACTTGTGTTTCTGTGATGACCCACTATGACATAACAAATTATATAAATCAATTAAAAATTCAATGACTCAAGACAATGAGGGCTTACACAAGGTCCTCACTTTTTCACTGCCCATTAATGGTCCCTACCAAATCTGAAATACAAGATCACACACACACACACACACACACACACACACACACACACACACACACACACACACACACACACACACACACACACACACACACACACACATTCATGCGTATAAACGACGCAGTAAAAAAGATTTTTTTTGTGGTTGATGAGATAATCCAACATGTGTTTGTGTCCTCACAGCACACTGCCGCTATGCCTTGGGCATGGAAGATGGCCGCATCAAAAATGATGACATCACAGCATCCAGCCAATGGTACGAGACCACAGGACCACAGTATGCCAGGTCAGTGTGGCTCAAAGAGTTTCCTTTATTAAGCACCAACCATAGCTGACTTGGCTATGTATTGTCTCTTAACTCTTTATATTTATTTATACCCAAAGAACTAAACTTTATCAAAAGTGGAAAACTATTGTATACGTTGTTTAAGCACAAAGTGTTGAATTATTTAGGCCGGTTTGATGTTAAAATGTGACGCGGATGAATATTCTAAAATCATCTTGGTTAAAAAAATATTTTTGAAGCCAAATTCAATCAAACAAAGCAGAACTTCGAAGTTCAGCATAATTTTAAAAGTAGTCAACTACATTGACTGTAATGTTAGACTGAATGCCGGTGGAGCTCTGACTTCTGTAATGAACTGTTTATTCCCTGCAATGTCTATGAAAGGAACAGGAAATTGAGTGTAGTCAGTAGCTAAAAAGGCTCAGCTTATAAATGTATAAACTGTCCCAGGATCTGCAGACACTCCTTATGTTTAATGTGCATTTATTAACCCTGTGTTTGCAGGTTGAACCGTGAGGAGGGAGATGGTGCCTGGTGTCCTGAGGGACAGCTGGAGCCGTCAGACAGTCAATATCTGCAGGTTTGGGTCTTGTCTTCAAGCATACTCATGCACCAGTATGTATTTATGCACCAGTGTGAATTTTTGGTATCTACAGGACCAGAATACAAGTTGCTGAGAAGGAAGATGTCCTCAAAGTTTTTTTGCTTATTGGGGCCTTCATGCTTGTCATATTTCTGCAAATTGTTGATACTGTTTAGAAGATTTTATGCACCACATGCATTTCTAAGCTCTTAAGAGACACACTGGTACTGTTCTTCAAAACTGATAACACATCATTCCTCATTTCACAGAAATCTAAGAGCAGTCAAATGAATCCAACACACACCCTGAGGGTCCTTGCTGTTTTAAATGATCTAATAGAGACCTGCTTATGTGTTAAAGGTGGACCTGGGCAGGCTGACTTTCCTGACTGTGGTCGGGACTCAGGGACGATACGCCAGGAACTCTGGGAATGAGTTTGCTCGAGCTTACCGCCTCAACTATAGCAGAGACGGCCTGCTGTGGAAGTCCTGGAAGAACCGGCTGGGAAACACGGTGAGCGTAGACAGAGACAGAGTCCAGTGGGTGGGGTGGGAGTGGAGGGGGGGCTGCTGGACCTGAATGAAAACATGAAACAGGAAGTTAGAAAAAAGAGCAGAAAATCTGGAGCGGAAACATGTGATAGAGTGATAGAGCACAGCGATAGAGGGAAGAATGGGAGCTGCTTCTGGTCATTCATAGTCACATTAGAGGAAATGATAGACACACCAGCTTCCTGTTTGACCTTCGAGGTCCTCAGCAGCTACTGTGTTACCATATGGACAGCCTTATGTTAATGCATTTATTAAACTTTAATGAAAGATTATACATTATGAAAGATGTGGTAGGTATTATTCTGAAACTACAAAATACTTTTTCTTCAGGACTTTAACTTTATTGGTTTTTGTTGTTTAGACGCTTTTTCAGGTGAAGTCACATCAGAAACTGAAGCCAACCTTCAGGATTATTGACGCTCTCGTCATTTCATGTGTTAATATTTGTTTCCAGGTGATGGAGGGCAACAAAAATGCCTATGCCTCGGTCATCAATGACCTCCACCCCCCGATCATCACCCGTTATGTCCGACTGATCCCAGTCACCGTGCTGTCGACCACCGTGTGCATGCGAGTGGAGCTGTACGGCTGTCCGTGGGAGGGTACGCCACATAAACACACACTCTCACTGCTCATGTATTGCTGATGTTAGAGGGCATTGATGAGGTGGATAAGGACTCTGAAGAGCTCTTCTCAGAAATGTTTACTCCTCCTCAGAGACAAGTAAACTCTTCAGAGACCTCATCTGTAAACATCAAACCAAGCAGGGAATTCAGATCTCTGATCAGCGAAACAACTTTTTACTCCAAAAGTTTGTTTGTTTGCAAAAAACATCACATCAAATAAACACGGAGTGAAATCCTCATTTCATTATTTAATACTCAAATTTGCCTTATCTTTCCAAGCTTTCTCTCTCATCTATTTTCTCTCCTCCCTGCAGATGGTCTGATCTCATACAGCACTCCTGAGGGTCAGCTCATGATGCCGCCCGGGTATCCCATCGCCAGCCTCAATGACTCCACCTACGATGGTGCTCATGAGAGGAGGCGAGTGACCCATGATAACCACACCCCATATCACTGTTTTCTGTTTTCTCCCCCACTCTTTATGACTGACAGCTGTCTCTTCCAATAGGAAGCTGTTTGGCGGGATGGGCCAGCTGACAGATGGTGTGATCGGTCTGGACGACTTCCTGCTGACTCGCCAGTACCACGTGTGGCCCGGTTACGACTACCTGGGCTGGAGGAACGACTCACTGGGGACCCAGGAATTTGTGGAGATGGAGTTTGTGTTTGACAAGCCGAGGAACTTCACCTCCATGAAGGTTTTAGATTCTGCTTATTTGACCTGATCACAGATCTCATCATCTGCTTCAGAGACTCTAGAAACAGGCTTCAGCTATTCTGAGGCCAGACCGATTATCAGACAATGATTACACGGGACAAAACACAAGTGTAACTTTTTCACTTTCATAAGCCTTTATCAGTGCTTTTATCTGGTTTTAACGCACTAAGGGCCTAATCTACTAAAAGTTTGGCTGTATAAAAACACATGCAAACTTGATAGCGTGCACCAAGCTTATCTACTAACCGAGGATCAGAGGATTGTGTCTGTCAAATGAGCAAAAGAACACGTGCAATCGATTGAGAATGTTTGCCTTCATGAATATGTAGAATGTATGTAGATCACCAGAATGTGCAAAATACTGGGAGGAGGAAATGCAGATGTAATAATTTAGCTCTCACAAAGTGATTTATCAAACCTGGAAACCGATTGCGGTGACTGTTTAGTGTCTACATTTAGCATGTTGGAAAGGTATGTGCAAACTGGCACAGCGTAATGCATAAATGGCCGTCGTCATTGTGGGGAGAAGCAGGCAAAAGTACAATGATAGACGACGGAGAGACAGAGTCTTCTGTGCGCGTGTTGACATATTCGGACTGTCAGAAATAAAAAATAGTAGCGTAAAAGTAATAGTAATGCCATTTTTTTAAGCTACTGGGTGACCTAAGAGCTGAATTGGAGCCAGTCACAAAAATTATCCATGTCATGTCTCCTACTGAAAAACCACTTGTAACACTGCGTTTTCCTGTGTCCGGATCATTCAGCGCACCATCGCAGTTAGTGCATCTCCCAGAGTGCTTTTTCTGGTGTGCTGTCCCAAGTGTTGAATGACAGGATGAGCAAGTATGTCCAGTTTCCACAGGACAAAGTAAATGACACAAAACTTGGAAGGTCTTGGGGTCCTGTCGAGTCTTGGAGACACAGGCTGAGTGCTGCGGAGCTGCGGGTCTAAAAGCTTGTGATTTATTTTGTTTTTTTCTGGTAAATTACAGTTTTTATAAATAATTAGGTCAAACACGAATGTCTTATTGATTTCTCATTTTTCATTTTAAAAATATTTTCTTATATTCTTTCTATATTTTATCTATTTTTTATCTATTTTCTTTATCTGTAAAGCACTTTGAATCGCCTTGTGTATAAATGGTGCTATACAAATAAACTTGCCTTTTATGTGGCTGCTGGATTTTACAAACTCTGGTAGCTTGTAGCATGTGCAAAATCCTCATTTAAAGAGGGCGATCTGCACCACTTTAGCACCTGTTATCAATTGCGCATGCAATGATTGTAGATCACCCGCAACACCCCCACAAATAGCATGTGCAATCTTTTAGTTTGCACAGGCAATTTAGTGCTCCTTGTTTGGGGTATTGGTAGATCAGGCCCTAAAACCGAATATTCTAGAAAAACAGAGTCATGATGGAAGGATATCATCATCTGCACAGGTAATGAATGGTACAGGTGCATAGCTGCCTGTAGATTAAGATTTATGAAATAAATAAGAAAATGGACAAAATAAATAGTCAAAAATAAGGAGAAAGACAAAACAGCAAAAAACTATTTTATCTTTTCTTTAAAACGTTGCACTCAGTCACGGTTATGTATATCTTTAAAATATTGAAATATTTGGCGGTAAAAACTGCAACAACTGTGTTGGCTCCAACTAAGTCATAAATCTGCAATCTAGAAAGCAGTCTGTTCATGGGAAAAGGTTTGGTCCGTCTCTCTGCATTATGCTTTCCTAAGTGTTCAGCAAAGTTCACAACCTCCAGTTCTTGTGCAGCTGTGTAGCTCTTTCTGATATTGTCTGTGTGTATCATAGTTGTTTAGCTCAGCTAGCTCAGATTAATCTCCATCATCTCATGTTCACTTAAGATCTTTGTATAATTAAACACTGTCTGTCTTCTGTTTTCCCTCCAGGTTCACAGTAACAACATGTTTTCTCGTGGCGTGAAGATCTTCTCTTCTGTGTCCTGTTGGTTTAAGCCCCGCCTCATCGCAGGCTGGGAGGTGGAGCCAGTGTCGTTTAAGACAGTTCTGGATGACAGAAACCCGAGCGCCCGCTACGTCACTGTCCCCCTGAACCGCCGCACAGCCAAATCCCTCCGCTGCAGGTTTTACTTCGCAGACATCTGGATGATGTTCAGTGAAATCTCCTTCCAGTCAGGTAACACACGCACTCACGCACGCACACACGCACGCACGCACGCACGCACTTATTCCTTGACAAAATATTTAAAAAGTGGCATTTTTTTGCCCCTCAGAGGACACTGTACTCCCAACCCAGATGACCTTTTTAGTGACTTCCTCTCCAGCCAACAAGGATAGTACTGTGCCAACCACATCAAAGTCAGGTATGACCTTTGACCTCTGCTGTTCTGCCCCTTACACTGATATTTGAATTATAACAAAGACAGACTCTTGGACTGTTCTGCTCATCTGTTCTCTGCAGCAGCTGATCCTTCTGCCAGTGACCCTCCAGACGATGCAAACACGCCCATTCTGATTGGCTGCTTGGTGACCATCATCCTGCTGCTGGTCATCATCATCTTCCTCATCCTCTGGTGTCAGTACGTCTGTAAGGTGCTAGAGAAGGTGAGCAGATATTGATGAGAGGTCCAGGTGTATAATGACACATGAAGTTCAGATCTTTGTCGAGAATCAAAGAGCAGATGGGTTATTGATGTGTCTCCTCTTCCTCTCTCAGGCACCACGGAGGATCCTTGATGAGGAGGTGACAGTCCGGCTCTCGTCCTGCAGCGACACCATCATCCTCCAGACACCCCCTGTGCCCCCCCGCTCAGGCCATGCACCTTCAGGTACAAATGACCCCATTCTCATTTGCATTCAGGGTTCAGTTTCCATCCTTGAAGTATAAATGTCTCTGAGACATGCTGGTGGGATTAGTCCTGTCTGTCTCCACTCTGTGCAGGACCCAGGGTCTAAACTTAGTCCTGGGGTGGAAGATCTAATACAGACATCCAAACACAGATCCTTCAGGCCTCTGTGGACCTTATTTGTTGAATTCATTGACACACTTTCTTCCCCTTAGGCCCTGCAAACACGGACCCTCACTATGAGCGAGTTTTCCTCCTGGACCCTCAGTACCAGAACCCAGCAGTACTACGAAACAAGCTGCCGGAGCTCTCACAGAGCGCAGAGGCATCAGGTAAACACACAAGAGACCTTTATTCAAACCTTTGGTAGAGTCAGAGGTGAGAGCCAAACAAACTATGAGGGCAAAGTGAGCAGATATTAGCTCTTCTCTCTGTGTTCCTCCTCATGTTAGTGTTCAGTAAGGCAGTTGTGGAGGTTTGACCTGCGGAAAGTCTGAGTGGAGATAAATCTGACTCAGTGATGCCTCCAAATTTCATCCTCCATAACATGTTCAAACACGAGGGAGCTGACACAGTCGAGGCCTGTAGTTAAATGAGTTCAGCTACTGCAATCTGCCCTCTGCTGGCAGATCTGTGACTCCTGTCCTCCTCCAGGACGCCTTTCTGCTTTAAACTTTCTTTTCTCTTATAAGCACAGTGCACAAACTCTGTATACTTCTTTTCTCTCTTTTCAGTCCTCAGTATTTTCTGGTCGATGCCTAAAAATTGGACGTGCATGCTCGTACATTCTGCAGCTTCTCTCTCTCTTTTACTTCCCAGCCCTCTCTGTTTCTGTCTCCGTCCACCTCCTCCTCCTTTTCATCCTCCAGCTCTCCTCCTCGGTAATCCTCTCTATGACCTCCTTCTGCTGACTTCCTGTCACATGACGTCTGGCTGGCTGCGTGGTAAGAGCTAAAAGGTGTGACTCCAGACATTTAAACATTCATCAGACAGGATGCAGAAAATAAAGTATGCATTTTTTATTGGCTTCTTAACCTGCTAATCCTTTTTATTTTTCCTGAAGTGCAAAAACTGTGAGTTATTAAAAAATATTGTATACTATGAAAATCACTACTATTCACTATTACTTCAACATAACACAAAAATAAAATTACAGAGACGCATTTGACTCAATTTTTCACCCTGACTTTAAGCACTAGACCAACTTTCTCTCATCAGATTACTCCTCAATCATTTGTCTTGCTAAGCTGTTTGAGTTGTTCCTCTGGATATGCATGGACTAAAATTTGGGGGTGAAGCCTCTTAACAAACCTCTGCATTAAACCTCTGCCCCCAAATATCAACAAACTTTCTCCAAACTTTGAAAACCCCCTCTACAACAAGAAACCACAAAAAGAGCTAAAACAAAGGAAACAACCCTTAACTGTTCTCCCCCTAATAGCGTGTGGAGGAGGCTACGCAGAGCCCGACATCACCCAGTGCACCCCACACCAGTGTTTCCATAGCAACGCACCACACTATGCTGAGACGGACATTGTGCGGCTGCAGGGCGTCACTGGAAGCAACATGTACGCCGTCCCTGCCCTCACTGTGGACTCCCTCACCAGGAAAGACATCTCTGCTGCTGAGTTTCCACGGCAACAGCTGATCTTCAGGGAGAAGCTGGGGGAGGGGCAGTTTGGAGAGGTGAGCAAGGGAGGGGGTGGGACCAAAAGAGAAAACCACCAAAATTGCAGAAAGTTAAAGTTTTGTTGGAAAGTGTCAGAAAGTCTTTGACTTCAGAGGATTTCAGGTCTTACCTGCTTGTCTCTTTCAGGTCCACCTGTGTGAGGCTGAAGGACTCCCAGAATTCCTTGGGGAGGGTTCGCCTCTTCCTGACAGAGACGATCATTCAGTGCTGGTGGCTGTTAAACAGCTGCGGGCCGATGCTACCAGCCAAGCCAGGTACAGACTGTGGACAGGAACTTTGATAGAGAAGGTTTTAGATAAACAAAGTGAGAAGGTGGATCAAAATCAAAGGTCGATCAAATCAAACACAAATGTTATTCTCTGTCTTGCCTCCGCTCAGAAACGACTTCCTGAAGGAAATAAAGATCATGTCTCGTCTGAACGACCCAAACATCATCCGACTGCTGTGTGTGTGCGTGTCGTCAGACCCGCTCTGCATGGTGACTGAGTACATGGAGAATGGTGACCTCAACATGTTCCTGTCACAGCGGGAGATCGAGAGCACCCTGACACACGCCAACAACATCCCCTCAGTCAGGTTAATTCAACGTACTCGCCGTTTCTACAGTTTAGACCTGCTAACATGCTCAATCATGATGAATGTTCAAAGAAACCCTGGAAGTTATGATCTCTGTTTTTCCCTCCTCCAGCCTCTCGGACCTCCTCCACATGTCGGTGCAGATCTCATCAGGGATGAAGTACCTGGCTTCTCTGAACTTTGTGCACCGTGACCTTGCTACCAGGAACTGCTTGCTGGACCGCCGCCTCACCATCAAGATAGCAGACTTTGGGATGAGCAGGAATCTGTACAGCAGTGACTACTACCGCATCCAAGGCCGGGCGGTTCTGCCCATACGGTGGATGGCCTGGGAGAGCATCCTGCTGGTGAGGACTGGGACAAGTTAACATTAGACATGACTGACTTTAGCTGCTCTTCATTTGATTCATTTATTTGACTCAATTATTTATGTGCATAGTGACCGTAAGTCTACATTTGTCTTGTAATATATTCATGACCTGCACACTTGGTCTCATCACAAGTATCCCAGTGCAAAGTCGGTTTAGGATTCATAATCTGACTTTTATAGCGGATTGTCATTGCTTTGTCTTATGATTTTTTTATGTTAAAGTTTCAGTAGATTTGATTTTTGATGCAGAATTTTACAGTGTGGGTGCCTCAAGACGTAACAAGAGCCAAAGGTGCCCTTTAAACAATCCAATCACATGCTGAATCAGGGATATGTCTGACCAGATGTTGCTAGTTAAGCGGCACACAAACTGCTAAATAAGGCACAGGGTGCAAAGAGGTTGGATTAGGTCCCTTGATTAGTCAAAGATGTTTTGTAGGCGTGACAGAAATCAAACCAATCAGTGTGTCTGGTCCCAATCCCTTTAGGGGTCAGATGTGTTTCCAATCAGTTCCATTAACATGGCAGGTTTAAGCACACACAGTTTGCAGTTCAGGTTATGTGATGAATGTTTAAGAATAGGCCAAATAAGCACCCCTTTGAGATGTGTTACTTCGTGTGTGAGAGTAAGTAAATGTTCCTGCATGTAAATAAGAGCGTGCACATCACAGAGAGGGCACATCATGAAGAGCTTGGTAACATCTCAGGCCACAGTTTCTGGACTGTGCAGGTTTGTGAGGAGACAGCGATAAGGGTGTCTTTGTCTTCTGGATCAGCCCCATATATCTGCAGCAGTCATGATGTATGTAGACAGGAAATGATGCTTTAGACTTAAAAAACTCTGTCCAAGAATGAAGAAAAAAACTGTAAATTATTAATGATTTCAGCAGATATTCTCAAAGATTAAAACCTTGAGAAGCTCATATATATCATCATAATGTTTAAAATAGTAACCACAGAAGAAGAGGATGTGGGGGCTGCGCACAAAAATACCAACACTTGATGGAGTTTCGAGGTCCTCTAAGCTCCATTTAATCAATTATCAGGTATATTTTGTGGGATTTTAACGAGAGTTTGTCTCCGTCCTCTCTTCAGGGTAAATTCACCACTGCCAGTGACGTGTGGGCATTTGGTGTCACCCTGTGGGAGATCTTCACACTGTGTAAGGAGCAGCCCTACAGCCTGCTGTCTGACGAACAGGTCATAGAGAACACTGGCGAGTTCTTCAGGAACCAGGGCAGACAGGTAAGACCATCCAGATGCACCTGTAAAGAAATCAGTATTTTTATAATGTGTCCCACATCAGGTCAGGCACTGACTTTGCATCCATGTTGAACAGACAGTGTTGTCTTTTTGGATCAGATTCAGCCTCCCAGGCAGTTTTCCAATCCTCCAATTTCCTCCACATGGGGGAGCTACTCGGTCATTATTGCATTGCAAACTTTACATTTGACATTCAATCTCAGGCTTCCCTCAGTGCCTGGAGAAAAATATTCCAGGCATGTGCTGACACCTTAACCCTTCTAAGTCTTTTTTAAATTCATGTAATAAACATAAATTATAGCTGCTGCACATTAATGAGACAGGGCTGAGCACTTTGAGCAGGACTGAGCAGACACAATTCGTCATTATAGTTTTTCCAATCACAGCAGCGCACACAGTTTTCCATAAAATCAGAAGAAAATATTTCACAATTTCACCACCAAGAAAAACTTTAATTTTGTTCATCGTCTTACTCAAAACACAACTGACCAACAGAAATAGACGGTCTGTTTAAGTACTGTCACCAAAATACAATAATAAATAAAAATACAAGAAGCAACTTCAGAATCTTTTAAACACACACAAAAAACTCATTTCCTGGCAGTTTTATGAAGTCCAATAATTATGGCTTTTCTAAAACTGCAGTATAATAATTATACAGCCTCCTAAATCCCTTGACTCCAACCCCAGAAACACTTGACACCAACCCGTCTGTTGGTGGAAGATACATGGATTTCTGTACATTCCAGTCCCTTTCCTCTTTTTAAACCCAAACTTGTGTGTAATGTAAGCAAGTTTTCCATGAATACAAATGATGTTTGTTCTGCATGAACAAGGTCCTGAACTCAACGATAAATGGTGATCAATGTTGAACCACCTTGAAGTACGTATGCATGGTGGTGGTGGTGGTGGTGGTGGGGGGGGGGGTCGCTAGTGTCTGGGATCTGTATTTTAGGGGTCCAGTTTGTGAACTCCTGGTTTAGATTTCACTCTTTGTTAGTCAATTTAAAACAACCCAATATGGACAAGGAAAAATTGCACGAACCTGTCAACTTTTTCAGGGGCAGAAACCTTACACAGGACCAGACTCACTAGTTGCCATGGTCAGACTATATGATCTTTCTGTTTGTGCTGGATTTGGCATCCACAGAACAACAGAGTCATGCTGTGACATGACCAACAGACACGTCAGACTACATGATGGTACATGACCGGAGTTCATGACCAACAAGAAGATGTTGGAAGGGAGAGGGACAGAGGTAGACGACTCCAAAAAATACTGAGGGCAATTACTCACAGGGTTGCTTCAGTAGGTCGTAGAGCTGGGCGATTGATTGGCTCTCATTTCCCAATTTTAATAATGGTTCTCTATGTTCATGAAAGACTGATGGTTAAGACTGAATGGTTATTGTGCTGCCTGCAGAGGAGCAGGTAGAGGAGCAGGAGGGGGCAGATGTGTGTAGTAGTGCATGACTTCAAGGCAAAGGGACAGAGTGAGTACAACAGGAGAGAGCAGCTGTAGGGATCATGAGCGCTAAAAGTAACAGACCTTATTCACCCTTTAATAATCAAATATCATTTCTTTCTGAAAAAAACCCTGCTGCTCCAGATCTGTCAAACTCTCCCCTTTGTCTCCTTAAGATCTTCCTCTATGCCCCTCCACTCTGCCCACCTTCACTCTTCGAGCTGATGATGCGCTGCTGGAGCCGCGACATACCTGACCGACCCACCTTCGAGGGACTTTACCAGGCCCTGAGGCCCCACGTCAACCAATGAGCCAAGACCAAGAAGGTGGACCTCTTGGGCTCTGATTGGGTTTGTCTGCCTCTGGACTCCTGTTAGACAAAGACTGACCCAAGAGGACAGAGGACTGGACCTGCTTTAAAGGAGACAGTTGTTTTCCGATGAAATATGGAGGATTAACTTTGGGACGGTGGTTAGTTTGCATTGTGGTAAAAGCAGCGCTTTATTCTGCAGGATGGAGGAACTCTTTCGCAACATGAGATTTTAAAATTAAACTTTTCAAAAGTGAATGAACAAAGATTTTTAAGCTTTTATAGATTTTCTCTCAGTGCTGATTTCACAGTCCTCTCTCTCTAAAGCTCTTTTGACAAACACATCCTGGTGGACCTTTTTCTTTCCGTTTTCCATCATAAACTTCATTTTCTTTCTGCTTCGACTTTTAAAGAAGCCAGAAACTGGACCACCTCTTCACCCTTGGTAGTGTCTCCTTTCCCTGTGGTTTTTATAATAATTGTAAAGCACTGTCTGTGTCTCTCAGTTATTCATGTTCATATATTAACCCACACTGGAGCTAGGGCTAGGGTCAAAATGTAGAGTAGTTTTATTTTTTAGATTTTTAATTCTATTTTATTTCCTGGTTTTTACCATATTTCCTATTTGTCGGTCTGTCGTATGGTTATGAATGTTGTTCAGCTGAGGTTCACGCTGAGGTGCCAAGAGGCTGCGATGAAACCTGTGTGGTTCTCAGACTGGAATCAGTCTGAAATTGTGGGTAACTGCCTCGAATCTTGATTGGAGGTGCGTTGGTTCAATAAGAAAATAATGCATCTGTGCTCTTCTGTTGCCAAAGAGAAATAAAGTATGTAAGTAATAAAAAACAAAAAACAAACAAACAAAAAAAAATCAAACCGTGAATGTCCTTTTTTCTCTTTAATTGAGAGAGATAGTCAGAACTTTGCAACTAAGAATAAGAATAACTTTGTTGATCCCGAAGGGAAATTCAATTGTCTGTCGTCTCATTTGTCATGTCTCTAAAAGTTATCTACTATTTACAGAAGAGTTGTAAAGTCTGATGGTTGTTGGTACAAAAGATCTTCTAAATCTTTCTGTCCTGCAGTGAAGAGAGAGGAGCCGTCCACCACCATTTGCCCTTTGGTCCATTAAGGTGTTGTGAAGTGGGTGATCCATGTTCTTTAGAATAGACTCCACCTTCCTCAGTGTAGATCTCTCCACCACATCATCCACTGAGTCCAGCTTGAGTCCAACCACAGAGTCAGCTTTTTTCACCTTTTTTGTTCAGATGTCTTGCATCTTTGTGTTTGATGTTTCCTCCCCAGCAGACTGCAGCGTAGAACAGAACACTTGCCACCACAGACTGATAAAACATCTGCAGCGTCTTACTACAGATGTCTGTTGATCAGAGTCTTCTCATACAAAAGAGGCGGCTCTGCCCCTTTGTGTAGATGAAGTCTATATTCTTAGACCAGTCCAACTTATTATCCAGATGTACACCTAGGTATTTATATGATGTCACCACTTCGATGTCCACTCCACAGGTGTTCACTAGCTGAAGAGGGGGTTTGGATCTACGGAAGTCTATGACCATCTCCTTTGTCTTTGAGGTGTTGAGGAGGAGGCAGTTTTTGTGACTCCAGTCACTGAAGGCTCTTATCAGATCTCTGTATTCAGCTTCTTCATTTCTGAAGTATGAGTAAAAACATGCTCAATATTTTATTTTTTAAAACACTTTGTCTTTATAAGTGAGTCTGTCTTCTTTTAGATCAGTTTAATGCCTCGCTAAGTTGTAAAACACATTCATGTTACATTCACTTCAGTTCATGTTCAACCCTCAAGTCGAAAAAAGCTGGAATGTTGTGTAAAGTGTGGATTGAAATAGGATTTAATGGTTTAAAAATCATTCAAACTCTCAAAAACTCAAAATCGTGCTAATATAGTATAAAATACTGGAACTGCATCAGCTCTTTTTTTAACAAGACCCTGCAAATGTTATGGAAACAAAGAAACTAGAGTACGGAGAGTAAAATATCCCATTCCTGCGTGATGGAGGATTTTAGCTGCTCTGAAAAAGTCTTTGTCTGGATGTCAGCAGATGTTAATGCTAAAGCTGTAGATATTGTTCAGCATTAATGAAGCCTTCACAGATGTGGAAGATACCCATGACATGGACTCTGAGGATCCCCGTATCGTCAGGGATGCTGGATTCGAAATGTCAGATTTTGTTTCCAGACCTTCAGGAAGGTTTGTAACTTCCTCTGAGTCCACTTTACATGGGCTCAGGTCCAGAAAAGTTTGGATCACATTTATCATCTTTGGTTTCCACTTTGCATGGTCCAGTTTTTACCTCATTTCTGGATGCAGTGATGAACTGTGTTCACAGAAAATGGTTTCTGGAAGTGATTTTGAGCCCATGAGGTGATTTCCACTACAGAGTCCTGAGAAAATATCACCTGAAAGATGTGTAAGTATCAAACAAATATCACGATATTTATCCAGTGTAATGGTACTTGGATCAAATGACACCAGCTCTGAGAAATGGAAATTTGGAGAAACTTTTCTCATTGTATATTCAGACCGTTCTGATTCATCTTGTTTCAGCTGTAATGTTGTTTTTTCCTGTATTCTCAGTGAGTTGCTTTGTAACCTGGCCTTGTAATCTGGTTGACCGTATTTCTTTAAAGGTGTTCAAGGCGTTAAAGGTGTTGGAAAATCTGTGCAGACAGAGCGTTTTAACTTTGTGAGGAAAAACCCTCTTTTTATACTTTTACTTTTTACTCAGCAGAAGCAGAGCTGGATTTGACTGAAAAAATACAGATAGACAGGGTTTGTTTGAGACGTGCTCTCTCAGTGACCACAGCTTTCATAATGTGGTTCAACTCTGGTTCAGGGCCAGAGAAAGGTCAAGGGAAAATAAACAACCGGCTAAATTTTATTTCTAAAGGAGTAAAGAACTTTTTAATGCCCCAGTGTCGCACGTGAGGGGTAAAACACTCTTTTTGGACTGAAATTAGAGCCTTAAAATATGCAACTAAATGACTTCTGGACAGCAAGAGAAATTCCCCAAATGTGCAAAACCTTACACAACAGTGGGCGAGGCGACAGCAGCTTTTATAAGAATTTCTCTGCAGCTGTGTGATGCTGGAGCAGTCAGAGCCAAACCCAATCTGGCTGTAATTACTGGTGCTGTTCTGCCTCCCTGCAGTCCTCCTGGATGTGTGGAGCTTTGGTCAAGATGGGATATATTTTTATCTCTTGGGTGTGAACGCCAGCACATCCACAAACACATCCACAAGACCCGAGGACGCCAAACTTTCAGTTTTTAGACATTTACTGTCCTATCCTGTTGTAATTGTCCTTGAATTACCAAAAAACCACACTGGTATAGTTAAAAGATGCTTTGAACAGCTTTTGAATAAGATTGTATAAAAGTGTTCAATCTATATTAAGTTTAAATAAAAGCACACGTGTAAATTAAGCACCTGTGAGCACCAATAGAGATTTTACATTTTACTCCACCCAACATAAATCTTATTCTAGAATATATTTTTTTCTAGGGCCTCAACACTGGATTGAGTAGGTTGTGAAATGTTTATTACATCACGCTCCAGTTTTCCTAGATGGGAGTATATTAAACAGTTTAAACAGATTTAGCTGGAAGTGCAACAGAACTATATTATCTGACCAAGACTTTTGCTCATTGGCCTACAGGGAACTAGTAATCATTATCCAGGTGAATGACAATGAAGATACAGACCCTTCGAACCAGTGGGAAACAACTAAAGCTTTTTTAAGAGGCATAACTCTATCATATCGTTCATCTAAAAAGAGAAAATTGATTGGGCAGAGATGCTTGGAAGTAGACTTAAAGTCCCACTCCGATCATTTTTTTTTTATTACTTAAAGTGTTATCGGTGGTCTTTAAATTGTGATCATTAAGTTTTTAACCAAAATCATGTTACCTGTGATGCTCATTAGCAATTTGCCTCTGAGGAGTGGGCGGAGACAGCGCTGCTCTACACACTCGTCTTCATGCTAGTTTGCAGGAAACATTGCCAGTGTAGTAGAAGTGGCAGGCAACATAGGAGCTATTTAGCTCTCAGACACTGATGTCTTTGGGGACATGATGAAAGCTTATATCATAATTAGCTTTCTTACAAGCATTGCAATCTGCTAATGCACACACTTGTTCCGCGATTGTCCTCTCTATTTCTCTGAGCCTGGCTTGCATAGTGGGGCTCCTGGGGGCAGAGCTTGGATTTGTGACGTCAGAAATCTCCAATCCACCTTCCTTCCACTGAAAAACAACCATGGAGATATGGCTGTCTATACCTCACCTATCCACTTATGCGCCACCTGTATTACATTCCTAGGAATTCATATTTCCCTCAGGCTGTCAGAGCTGTTCAATCTTAATTTCATACCACTGCAGAAAACAATATCCTATGATCTTTAACGGTGGTCACAATTACCATTATCACTCTTCGGCAGAATATCAACCTTGAAATATCAGTACTTCCAAAAATCAACTATCCGTTCTCAATGATCCGCTATCCAATCCCCACTCTCCTGGTTTAAGTCTCAAGATTCCACTGTCTCAAAATATATATATTTTTTTCATTACTTCATTGCAAACCATGCATGTTCTCCCTGTGTCTACGTGGGTTTACTCCGGGTTCTCCGGTTTCCTCCCACATCCCAAAAACATGCCTGAGTGGGGTTAGATTAATTGGCCACTTCCAAATTGCCTATAGGTGTGAATGTGAGCGTGAATGGTTGTTGGCCTCTATATGTCAGCCCCAGTGGCGTTCCTAAGCAACTTGGTACCCTAGGCAGAATTTCTGGTAGCGCCGTCATCACGTCAGTCAGTCATCACTGCACAGATAATTTGGTGTAAATCATTAGTCTGTACAGCTCAAAAAAGGAAAAAATGAGGAAGAAAAGCCAATACAGCCGGCGTTATGCCGTAGAATGCACCCCATCCACTCATTAGCTTCTTAAAGTGGAAAAAAATGATCTCATATTAAAAAAAAACCTGAGTATTGGATCATGACAACATGTCAAATGGAGCAGCAAACTTTCGTTCTGTTTTTAGGTATTTAAAAAATGCACATACAGAGGTGTACTTGGGTATATAAACTGTACAGTAAGCTGTCAAGGTAGAGAACATTATATTTTTTGGGCAGCAAATATTCAGAATCAGAGGGCTGTTGCTTTCAGCATTTATGAATAGCTTGAATTAAATCATTAAAGGCACACGCTTTAGAATCAGTCCAGCGGTCAGGAAAACTTGGATTATTTCGCCTTGTTGTGTATTTTCAACCGCGCTCCCGTCAGGGAGAGCATTCTGCATCAGGGGTGCATTCTATGGCACAACACCGGCCGCGGGAATGGGGTCTTAATAAATCCCCCTTAAATCTTTAAATCTGTAACTTCAACTAAAACATCAGCAAATGGCTTGACACAAAAGATTTGCCTAGCTAGTACGTTGTGTTTTTGATCTGCATTCTGCAACATGCTGGACTGCCGTGATCTGACGATTTTGAATGAATTGAAAGTCAAGCCATGATGATAATTGACGCTGCTCTGCCTGGCCTGCCTTGGCTTATTATTGCCTTGTGCTTGGTGTGGTCTCTCTGTGTGGTGAACTGGTGGTGGCGATGCATAAGCCGCGGCGGCGGCACTGCGGGTGTGTTGTGTTACAAGTTACCTGGCTGTAAATAGTTGAGTTAAACAGAGAGAGAGTTACCAACCCAACTTACCTCAGAAGCAAGCGCAGTACGACTACGAGGAGAGAGCAGGGGGGCGGGGAGGAGTCGTGTCCTGTGTGCAATCCATTGGGGAACGTGGCGAAATTGCAGGCAGGTTGCAGGCAGACAGACACTTAA